ATTCTACAAAAAAAGTAACCTGCACAACATGCTCACGTGGCAGTCGGCAGGATTAATCGGATTGTTCCAGTCTCAAAAGTGTCCTGCATACTGATGTGGCAGTCACCGACAATGCCGCTCATCGCCATTAGAATGCGCCCAAGAAAGGAAACCACACAGCATACCAGCATCGCAGCCGGAAGGATCAATAAACTAATTGTTAGTCTCTCTCTCTCTCTCTCTCTCTCTCTCTCTCTCTCTCTCTCTCTCTCTCTCTCTCTGTGCTTGTTCGTTGATCATCACCCGATTTCTCTCTCTCTCTCTCTCTCTCTCTCTCTCTCTCTCTCTCTCTCTCTCTCTCTCTCAAACAATCAGCAAATCTATATGGCTCAGAGCCACGTCAGCTGGAGAACCCAATCAGGAGACAAAACGGCCCCGCTATCTCAAGCACAAGGCCCTCCGTAACAAGCACAAGGCCCTCCGTAACAAGCACAAGGCCTTCCGTAACACTGATGCGATGACTTCAGCTGCAGAATGGACAACGGCTTCGGATTCGAGCTGCCCACGATCTCAACTATCTACACATTCTGCAGCATATCGGCATGACAGCTCCGTCTGTGGGCAAGCATCTCCTGTGTTTTGCTTCCTATGACATTGTTCTATGTTCCTCCTTTGCATTTGCTGCATCATATTCAACCACACAACTTTCAAGTTAGCTTGGTCATGACCGCAATGTCCGAAACGACTAGCTATCAGCAGGACAGCAGTCTGTCCAAGGATCGTTTCCTGTATTCTATTTCTGTGTGCCTGTGTTTTCCAGCAGTGTGATTTCGGCCTGGGGTTATCAGCAGAACACAACCTAATTGGCTACCTCCCTGTGCAGGGAACATCTCCTTTCTTTTGGTTGTTGTGAGGTTGTAGCCGACTCTTGTGCAATATCGGCCTGGGATTATCGGAGACTGTGAGACTGGAGAGGGTTTGAGGGCTGATCCAATGCCGCCCGTTGAAATGGGCATTTCTGGCATTTCAAGAGTTCGGATTTCGGTATTGAGCATTTGAGCTTTCGACAGGATGTAACTCAAAATTGCTTTTTTATTACTCAAGGACAAGACAAATCGCTTGGTGTATTCGCTCCTATTCAGGGAACCGGGAGCAGGGAAATTGAAAGGTTGATTGGTTACTCCGAAAGGCCAGGGTTTGGGGAAAGCTCATACGAGGGTCGCGAGTGTAAGATTGTGCAAGAACCTTTGGGGAATGCTCGTACAAGGGTCGCGGGTGTAAGAGTGTGCATAAGTTGTCTGGGCTTTGTAGGTGCTATCTCGACTTTATCCCCTGGTATTCTCGTATCAATCCTGGCTGTTGGATAATGATCTGCTTATCAGGGGAAGTATCTTTTGCAATACTTTGGTCTCACTGTGCGCGCTGGCATCGCTTCTTAGCGAGCGAGGCAGCCCTGAACGAAGACTGGGTGGCAAGCATGACTGGGTGGCAAGCATGAACACCTTTGGATGAGGACAGAAGTTACTGTTGTTTCTCTGGTAAGTGACTACTACTACGCTACAATCAGTTAAATAAAAGAATTCCAGAATTCGCTCTTGATCTAATCCACAGATTACTGAGCAGACAAGGGGGGGGGAAGTCCTGAGCAAAGGTCACAGTCATAATCATTTGCTGAAGCAAACTCCTACAAAACTTCTGCTGGTTGACTCGTTCGTTTATTGAGCATTTCGATAAGAATGAGAAATTTCCCAAATTAAATCATTCTGTTCAAATTTGAATTTCCAAGAGGATGCCACACCCCAGTTTAAATGCGGGGGCGCGTCAGTTAACTCAAGCCCCGAGTCCCCTACGGTCGCTGAGGACCTCAGAAGCGGGCACAGCAGATGATAGACGCTGCTGTCCCTGGCTTCAGCAAGCGGCAGGCGTCACCCTCCCCGGAATTCCTCATAATGGAATACGAAGGGCTGGGGGAGCCCCTGCAAGAGGCTGAACCAGGGGATGGGCAAAAGGAACTACAGATCTCAACAGACGGGATCGAAACAGTACCAGTGTGTGAAGGGGGGAGGAAGGGTGAGAAGCATAGTTGCGATGCACCTCGGTGCGCATATTTGCGCACACCCAGCGCACCACACGCAGCGCACCGGAAAAATTAAGGTCCTAATTTCTTACGGCACCCCCCCCAGAAAAAATGTTCAACTCGCTTTACGATTTCGGAAACTGTCGCGCCCTTGGCCCAAATTTTTTTTGTGGGCAAGGGCTGCCGAATTCAGAATTCTGCAGGCCCCTCCCCCAAAAATTTCAAAATCGCAGATTATGAAAATAGGGCTCATTGAGCCTCATTCCAGTTTTCTTTTTTACGCGGGGTGTGGTAACTGGACTTCCCCTTTCCTTCTGCAAATCCCACACAGTGGTGGACGAATTTGCAAGAAGCGTATAATTGCCCAGTAGTCCCATGCCCCACACTGACTCGCAGAAGGCACACGTCATGTTTGGTGAGTCCAGCCGACCACCAATATATGCTGAAGATTGGCATTCAGCCTGATTCAGGTCATTTTGCTTGCGTCACTCGGTCGGAGGTTCCAGCATATAGCCAGATTTTGTCTTTGATGCTGAAGAAAATACCCCTTTGTCGAGAAATCCATGTCGGCAGTTATGGGTTAGGATGAAGATCCATGTAGCTCTCTCGTTTTTTTTTTTGTTTTTTTTTCTTCTGAATACATAGTGGCCCAAGGGGCCTCTCGCCACTACTCACCACATGCACAAAAGACTACCATATACCGGTGCATGGTTCCATGTTCTAGCAGAAGATTCATTCTAATGTTATACATTTGGTGAGTAGTATCGAGTACCACTGAGTGGTGGAGCTAGGCCCTGAGAATCACGTGGAGACACGAACAGGGTCTAGCTGAATTGGTGACCCATAACTCCCGACCTACAGACCTGAACTTGCACCCACAGAATATGTTGGTGGTCTGCTCCCACCTCCCCGATATATGATGCGGCCATCCTGCTTGCAGAAGCCACAATACTCGATGCCTCCACAATGTCCAAGTGCATTGTCCGAGCCATGAGTTACCTGCAGGGGCCCCTGAATTGACATAAAGGGGGCCCTCTCTCTCTCTCTCTCTCTCTCTCTCTCTCTCTCACGGGAACGAATAAATGTCTTGTTCTTTATTCTTCTTTTTTTTTTGCCCACCTGGCGCACCGCCACGCCCCACACTGCGCACTGATGCGCCGCAACTATGGTGAGAAGCAATACCTAACATTCCGGATACCATCCAGATGCCGGGACCTGACGTGGGATCAAAGGGAGTGGAAGTGGGAGGCACAGAAGATGCGAAGGAAACCAGTTCCGATCCAGGAGCTCACCACCAAAAATACCTACAACTCCCTGTTAGAGCCAATAGACATCTGTGAAGAACTGAGGAATCGGTGGGCCAAGAGAGACTGGATCCCGGATGCCTATGTCAGCAGCTGGACTCAGCGGAGTAGGAACCAACATCGTTCTATCCTAGCTGCACTGCCGAACCAGAAGCAGTCGGGGTTGCTGTGACAAATTTATCACTTGGCAACCCCCACGGCGCAATGGTTGGCAACTAAAAGTTGACATAAGAACCAGAGCTGCGTCGCGGGGTGTGGACAAACGGAAACTATGCCCCACCTGTTTGTGTGATGCCCAGCTGTTCGGGCCTTTTGGGAATGGTGGGCACAGGATTTAGCGGATAAGTCCCCGCTAGAGGTCACGGAAACAGACGATGCAGCAATTCTCTTAGGGACGTCCATAAAAGTGGACAGGGCAAACCCGGAAACTCAATGGCGGCAGAGACTCTGCAAGCGGCTGTGGTGTGGGTGTTATGGACCCTGCAGAACGAGAGATGTCGACAGGGAACGGCTCCCCCTCTACAGGCATATAAGGAAAGGGCCTTGGAGAGCATCAGAACTTCCCTTCAGGTGGACCTGCATAGATGCAACCATTCCTGACCACAGAAGGTGGACTCAGCGGAGATGGGGCCCATACCCGTAACTGATTATAGATCCATGCACGGGCCATATGCAGTTTGGCCCTCCCTTGTTGCGGCACGAGCCTGGGGAAGGATAGGAGAGGCAGTTAACCGATTTGTACAGTAGTTAGATGAGTAGGAGGTGTGATGAAACCCCGTGGACACTAGAAGAAGAGGACAGGGTGACATTAGGAGAGGGGGAAGGGGGGGGGCCTGTCTCTTATACACATCTAGATGTGTATAAGGGTAGGGGGGGGGACTATGGGGCCAGGGGCAGCAGGTAGTAAAGGGTACCAAAGAAGTGTGGGTGGTGAGGAGTACGACGGGTGGACAGGAGATACTAAAAGAAACCGTAAAATTACAGAAAACATGAAACATTACTAAAACAAGTGGGTGGACTGTGGCCTATCATGGCTTCATAGATGTAGGGGTTAAGTGGAACACGATCTGGGTGAGAATAGATAGGTAGAGGTGGATACGCAACGACAGGGAAATAGGCTGGAACCAGATATGGGCTTCAGACATAGGAAATGTGCCTCAGACATAGGAAATGTAGGGTCAAGGTGCGATGAGGAATATCAGGTAATGTAGGGTCTAGGTGCGATGACGGATATCAGAAACAGGTAACACGATGCTACACGGCCTGAGGAACTGTTAGGAGCACCCCACCCGCACCCCGCCTATCCGAGGGCTGCTCTACTACGTGACTGGGTGCTGCCAGTAAGCCTCCCGACCAGTAGGGCAAGCCCCCGAAAGGCTAAGGGTAGGGGGGAGGGTTGCCCCAAAACAGTACCCCCTTTGCCAGACGTCTAAGGCCACAAGGGACGGGCTGGTCCTCTGTCTTGTCTGCTCTCCCCCCGTCCTCTTTTCAAACGTAAAAACATGCTTGCCGGTGATGAGCAACCGGACTGAGCCCCCCAGAATACAAGGGGCATTTTGTTTTGCGAAAAAGAAAAAAAAAGAACTACAGCACCATGCAGGCCAAAGCATCAAGACAAGGGACAGTGGGTAAACGCTCACCTCTCGGCAAAGTGAACAGCCGTCTCGCCCGGCTGCATGTTTTGAGGCTCCAAATACCAAACATCACACACAACTGCCCAGGATGTCATCAATCGGAGAAGATGATGTGTGAAAGACTGCCTGCAACAGCACCGCAAACAATTCGGAAATCCAAGTACAATCAGCAAACACGTTGACCACTGTTTCTCTTTTCCTGTTTTCCGTCTTACATGTAATGTGCAAGGAAGATGAGCATTAGCGAACTTCAGCAATCAACCAGCATCATACATATGAGCCCAGATAGTCTTGACCTCGAACCACAGCAGACTGGCATCACGAGATACACCAAGTAAGAACACACCAAGAGTTCAAAATTGACAATGCTGAAGTAGTTCCATCATCATCAACTACGAACCAGAGTTGATATCCTATTGGCGCTCGGCGCCCAGACTGTGGCAGATCCTATCTAGCCTATACTACGAGGCAGAATGATGACATCAACAGCGTTCCCGAAGTACGAGCATATGGCGACCAATGTCGCACGCTTCAGCACCAGGTATGTCTCTCGTAACACTCACAACCCCGATCCACACCGCACAGATGCCACTAGCACCCCAAGGACCACCTTGCGCCTTCACCTAGCATACAGCAGCGCAGCTTGGCTATGGCTGCGTGCTCCCTCCTACTCGCCCGTGAGAGCGTTAGTGCCAGCCAGCCAGCGGATTGCGCAGCAGCACTCACGCAGCATGCAGCCAGCACCCGAATGCCGAATGAGGAGGCAGGCCCTTCCCTATATCGAAGTGGCCTGCCTGCGTCCAGTCCAGGAAGCTTCCGGTAGGCCCCGGTAGGCACAGGCCCAGTCACGAAGAGAGCAGGCCTTGGGCCT